GTGAAAGTTCAGTGAGAACGGGAGAGGGGTGAAAGTCCAGTGAGAACGGGAGAGGGGTGAAAGTTCAGTGAGAACGGGAGAGATGTGAAATTGGAACTTGGCGTGAGTGGACATGGGTAGCAGATTTCCGCATGAGTTTATGGAAAGTGAAAGGTGGGAAATGATTGATATAACACAGACTTGGATAGTAATCAAGGATGAAAGTGCCCTGGAAACTGATACTTAGTGGCCCTGATTTTGCAGAGTTGGGATATTTCCTGGCTTAGCAAGTCCAGCTTTGGAGACCCTTGTTCTAATGGAGCGGGGGCTGGTATCTATGGTTCTCTGAGAGTCTGCTGGGCGATCCCGAGCACAGTGTTGGAGGAAGGCTGAATGGAAGCCTGTTTTTGTTAAATGTTAAAAACAGAAGAAAACGTGCCAAGAACACTTCCCTCCCCTCTCCAAACTGAACCATCCTCCCCAAAACTCCCCATGCTCAAACCATATCAACCCATATGCCCCATTCAACCTCCATGATTCATCATACCCTCTGTGTCAAAATGTACTCCCCACCCAATGGTAACCCTGCAGCCCAATGGTATCAATGTGGATTTCACAAGTTTCAAAATCTCCCCTCCCCCTACCACATCCCAAAACCAGTCCAGCTCGTCCCTGCCTCCCTAACCTGTTCTTCCTCCCACCTATCCCCTCCTCCCACCTCAAGCCGCACCTCCATCTCCTACCGACCAACCTCATCCCGCCCCCTTGACCTGTCCGTCCTCCCTGGACTGACCTATCCCCTTCCTAACTCCCTACCTACACTCACCTTTCCTGGCCCCATCCCCGCCTCTTCGACCTGTTTGTTTCCTCTCCACCTATCCTCTCCTCTATCCCTCTTCTATCCGCCTCCCACTCTCTCCCTATTTATTTCAAAAACCCCCTTCCCCTCCCCCTTTCTGATGAAGGGTCTAGGCCCGAAACGTCAGCCTCTCTGCTCCTATGATGGTGCTTGGCCTGCTGTGTTCATCCAGCCCTGCACCTTGTTGTCTCGGATTCTCCAGCATCTGCAGTTCCTACTATCCCCACCTATCACCCAGGTCTCCAATACACCCCGCATCAACCTGCACCCCGCCTCCCACTCCTCACAGGCCCTTATATTCTCCATGCCCACTTACATATCTCTACCTAACTCCTGTAATGCCACTATATAAGCTCAGTACCAAATCCCAATCCCCCAACCCATCATCCTTTGCCCTTACTCTACTCATGCCAACTCATGTAGTATCCATTAATGGGAGACCTCAGGAGCCATAACGAAATGAAACAAAATAAAGTTCGAGGTCTCTATTGCAGATTTAAAACAAAACACTCAATAATAGAAAGCTATGCCCAACCTTTATATTTCAAGTGCTTAATCCATTATAAAAACAAACACTTAATTCATGTGTTCAATCTCTTATAAAAACAAACACTTTATTCAATTCATTAATTCCTTATTACAATAAGCATTAGAATTTATAGCCCCACTTCAAAGAGTCTATAACTACTTGAAGCTGCCAGTTAAACTGTGAAATGGCAGGTATCCCTTTGTAATCATAGATGGTCTTGAAATCAGTTCTGTAGCACTATTCTAGCAATAGTAACACTCAGGCTTATGTCAACAGACAGAGTGAAATCTCAAACAACCCTTGAATACATGGCAATTATTATTTCAAATATTTAAAGGGCAAGAGTTTTAAATGCCCTGAGAGATTCACAGTCACTTTTGCAGTTGGTTTCGAAAGTTGTTTTTAGCAGTCAGTTTCAACAATTGCTTTTGAAAGCTCTTTTTTAACAGTCCCAATAATTTTACTCTCCTTCACACACACGATCAGGTCTACTTTTAACAATACTAATGGGCATGTCACCTCTCCAAAAGGACTTTCACTAAAGGTGTCCCAGGATCACATCAGAAAGGGTACTTTTGTGCTTCTGAAGGATACCCTCCCCCATCAAAGTAAATC